GTTTTAGGTCTCCACCCTGTCTCCGTGCTTGAGCTTTCAGACTGAAAACAAGGGCTGTATTTCCCGCAAGTGGTCACCCAGGATAGAGCATGAACCACTCTAGAGACCAGAGTCGCCTACGGCTTCACTTGCCAACCACGCTGGTGACATGTGTGGGTCAATGACATGCTCTGGAAGGTTCGTCTTCAAACTGCACTCTGTTGTGAGGTCCCACAGGACGTCAGTCAGGGAACATTGTGGTAGATGCCAGCTATAATGGCTCTGACCTGATGTTAGTAATGGGAGCTCCCAATGGTTCTTAATATTTTAAAAAACACAAATCATTTCTGAGAAATACTTGAACATGGTGAAAGAATGATTTAGGTTCACTTTTTTCCTTTGAAATGAGCACATCTACACTTATATTTATGTCCTTTGGGGAATAAATATTCCTTTCGGGGACCCCTTTAGTAGTCCAGTGCAGCCTATAAACTCCTTCCCAGAATACTCTTAAAACAAGTAACAGAAAAATACATAGGATTATAAAGAAAGGAAGTAGGTTCACAGACCTGAAGGTTCTGTAGATGTAAGTTAAGAACCTAATCTTACATAATCTCTCTTAAAGGTTCTATTGAAGAGTAAGTTCAAGGCATTTCAACAAAACATGTTAGAAAGGGGAGACAACTTCAGACACTCAGAGAGCTAGGCAGGTAATTACAGGCATGCTAGGAGGAAGGGCGGTAGCAGGTGTGTGACGGTGGGAAATGTGGCAAAATGCAAAGTGCATGCCCTGCCTCGAGGGGGAGCCAGCGGATTTTTGCCAAATAGGAGTGTGGGCCCCATGTGGCCATGTATTTCCCTTTTTGCAAAGGAAGCCAGGCGTCTAGATTTTCATATAAACTGTACACGTGTGTTAATGTTGGCTGGAGAAAAAAAATCAAACACAAAGGAAACAGACAAATCTTTCACCAGATTTGTCTGGAGGGCTACAAGTTTATAACTTCAGGAAAGTAAGAGGAGTTGGAAGACATTAATTACTCATATTTTATATTTTTTACTATCAATATACTTATTACATTTATTTTGAAAACATAAGAATTAATTTAAATTTAATTTCCTTCCTAGAGGGGCAGCATGTTATCAGAGAACAGCTGGAGGCTTCAGGAGCTAAATTGTTTACTTAATGATCATGAGAAACATGTGTTGAAAACCTATTGTCTATGCACTGGGCAATATACAAGTTGGCAGGAATATAAAGACTAAGACATTGCTTCCAAAGCTTACACACCAGTGGGTAAAGAGCTGTACCGAAAATTCACAATACAATCTGTGGAGTCCTAGCACAGAGATATGTGAAAGGAACAAAGGGAGTGGGAGGTAAGAAAGCATTCATCTTTCCCAGGAGACTGGGAGGGGCTCGCAGAGGAAAGATCTCTCCGAACAGACCTTTGTATCAAGGGGCCCAGGTTATTAACGATCTAGTGGGTTATTCTGAAGAACTGGGCTTCCCTCTTGGAGGAAACAGAGGTTACTGAAGAATTCTGAGCAGGGAAGTGATGTGTTTAGATTTTTGTGATCATCCTGGCTGCAGTGTGGAATGGCCTACAGGAGGGGACAGAGTAGAGAATGAAGACCCACCAGATATGATTTCAGCAGTTTAGTGAACTAGGGAAGTAAGGAGCAGGGGCCATGAAGTAAGACTACTTGGCTGGAAAGATAGTTAGGGGATAGAAACAACAGGACCTGGTGGCTGATCGCACACCAGTGTGTAGAAGGGCAACAGAGAGGGAAGGGTGGAGAGCGACGTGAGACCCTCCATGAGAGGTCGCCTGGCCCTGGGGCGGGAACACTGAGTTCACATCCTCTCTTCTGCTGTGTGACTTTCAGCAGGTTCTTCATCCTCTCTGAGCCCCACTCTTCTGGATACATCAAGTGCTCTTTCAGGTGTTCACATTTGTGCCTAAAACTTACTGTTATTATTATTTATTGTTATAATTCTCTTCAGGATGGTGGTTTCATTCAGTTTGTTTGTTTCAGAAGACGCATGTTGCATCTGAAGTGCTTTTAGAGGATTCTAGGTCTGTATAGTGGAATATGTGGGTTTCGGGTTGAGAAGAAAGCTTCATTAGTCCAGCGATGGCGGTTAGCGCCTCTTATGCAGATGAAATTGCTGAAGGCATTTCCGGAGAAGAAGACTCAGAGTCTGAGTCTCCAGGACACTGATGTGTAATGGGTAAGACGGAGCAGGAGACAAGAGCAAAGGCTCGTAACAAGGCCAGAGAGGCAGTAGGTAAACAAAAGAGACGTGTCCAAAGCCCAGAAGAAGACACGGTTTTAGAAAGAGCACAGTCAGCAGAGAAAACACTGTAGATGAATCAGTTACAATGATGACTTGACAAGGATCTGTATTGGACAACTGGGAAATTAATAAAGTGATTTAAAGTGGCTCCTTGGTATCTGACTTGTAGAAAACATTCCAACGTTGGTTTCCATTATCCTTAATTTTAAATGCATTTCTAGAGAAAGAGCTAAACACAACTACTAGACTGAACTACATAATTTTCCGTATTTGTAGGTTAAAAAATACTGAATTCAACAATTTCTTATAATTCAATTGTGCTGAGTAACTGAAAGGCTGCTTCAAAGATCAGTAGAGTAAAGACACGTATTTGTTTCTTATTGTTTGTGTTACGATGCAAGAGCAAAAATTACCCTTCTTTCCTCTAAGTTTTCTTAAAGAAATGGAGCTGATGATGATTGCCAATACTGCATCACGCACATAGAAGGTAACGATACTAGACACCTTCCTTGCTCTGTGTCCTACTGCACCTATTTCCCTGGTCACTCTGCCTTGGCGTCTAAAACCTACAGAGGTGACGCATAAACGCAAGGGTAATTTGAAGGAAAAGATATTTGCACCTTTCCAAAGAAATGCCTTCTATTACTAATAACGCTGGTATTACGAAAACGTCTATTTATTTTGGCAGTGTAGAGTATAAAGCGTAAAATGTTGAGTGTTGGCTTTGGAATCAGGTCCTGACTCTACCACTTATCGGGTACAAGGTCCAGGGAAAATTATTTACTTTCCTAAGCCCCTACTCTCTCATATGGAAAATGGAAGACTGCTGTCTCTTGGGGTTTTGTTGGGTTAGGGGAAGATAATGTTTACAAGGGGTTTAGCACAGTGCCCCTTACAACAAATGATAGCTTATGACATTCACCCATGGTGGGTAAGCATGAGAAAGTCTGAGAGAATTTTTTTTTAAAGAATAGTTACTTTTAGAAGAATTAGCCTTTCCCTACACCAACAAAAACCTTTAAGTTCTTTCTAGCAATGTAGGCTTCCTTGCCCAATCACTGGGAGCCTTCCAAGAGAACCAACAGCCAGATGAACAACTTCCAAGGCATAAGAGCTGAGGAAAGTTTGTGCTTCTCATCAGTTGGGGGCTGGCCAATGTATTTCTTCATGACCAATGATACACACGACTCATAAAACAAAAGCTCTCAGTATCCATGCCCAAAGAAAAGCCAGTTAGCTACCAAAGACAAAAACAGTAACACCAATGATGTGTCACAGGTATCTTCATCATATCCCCAAATTTTCTTATGAACCTGATATGTCACAAAGATGAAAAGCAAATTATTTTTTAAAATATATTTATCTTTGACTTTACATTAAATTAAAGCAAAATCGATTTATAAAATACACTGAAAAAAAATAAAATACACTGAAACCATCTGGTGAGAAAGCCCTTGTTAATAAGTTCATCACCTTAGTTTCTAAGCACACGGCAGCATCTCATTTTGAACTTACAACTGAATAAACACAAGCCTAAAAGTGCCCTAACCTATTATTTACACGGCACTTTCATGAAACACTATTATGCTTTGCTATTGGCAAAATGGTCATTAAAAATGTAACAGAAGACTACTCGGGGAAATGGAATCCCATAAAGCACGACAGCATTATGGATCGTAGTGAAGCCACCAGTACAGATGTTCCTAATCACACCAAAAACACAAACACACAGACCGGTTTGTTCCGGCTACAGAATAATTCAATTAGAAAAGTGCTTATAATTTAACAGTATGAATAACAGTTCAAGCCAGGGAGGTAGTGAAACTGCAAGGAAATATAAACCTACAGAGTCCGAGCCAAGGAGCGTTTCACAAATTCTCAAGGCTGAGAAACCAGTTCCTTCCCTTGCTACAGTTAGGAAATCATCATCTGCATCAGTTTTTAAAAATACGATGAATGTGCCTTTAAGGAAAGTACACACACACACACACACACACAAACACACAAATGCTCACACGCTGCACGAACATTAGCTACCTAACAGCTTTCAGCAAGAAAAACACCTATCCAAATTCAGAGTATCATTTAGAATCTGCTTGGGGAAAGTTAAAATCAGCCTTCGCACTGGTTTAAATTTCTTCTTGAGAAATAAACAGAACGTAATGTGATACAGAATTAAATCAGCATGCACAGTAAAACATAAACTCTAAGGACATACAGGATTCTCTTTGCAAATAATGATCTTGGCAAAGAGCCTCCTTTATGTACAGAAAGCTCTGTTCCTTGCTTATAGCAACTCTCAAGGCTACAACAGGTAATTGTGTGCTGCTAATTGGGTTTAAAATGATGTATTCAAGCCACGAGATATTTTATAGCTTGATTTTCAGCTTAAGTAGGAAACTATTTCAGCAAGGTCAAACTATAAAAGCTCATTCTCCCGCAATTATTGATCTTTTACTCACATAGTATGAATTTTAACATTTCAAATATGTAATGTCATTCAAAAATTGGTTCAATGCTCAATAGCCATCAAAAAATAGCAAAAGAAAAAGACAAACCAGGAACACGTTTGCATACAGATGTTCAATGTACTTGTTACCCCAAAGTTAATTCAAATCAATTTCATTAGCTAAATGGTAGATCTTAGGTCGCAACATTTCTCCAAGAAAGCAAAGTGAAATCAAACCTGCATAAAACAGGAAAATCAAATGCCATACATTACCTTGTGTCACCTGTTGAACTGCCAGCATTATCCCAGACACAGTGTCTGGAAGCAAATTTTCTTTCAGATTGTAACATGTTGCCCATTCCAAAATAGGTAGCCGCCTTCTACACCACTGCTTAAAGTCTTCACAATGTGGGGTATGCATCTTGCTCCAGAGCACACTTTTCTTTTTCCTCTTTGCCCCTGTCATTTTTCAGATTCCCTCTTGTAGAAGTAAACTTCTTTAAACAAGAAAAAAAAATCGATGCAGAACACCTCCTTTCAATGCCAGGCTCCAACTGGTCTGTGGTTCACAATGTCAAAGCTATCCAGAAAACAAATCAAAAAAAAAAAAAAAAGGAGAGAGAGAGAGGGAGAGAGATTAACAGACGCACTTAAACATGTGCAGCCAGGCTGCATGTCTTATTATGGTACAAATAATTATTCTAGATAAAAGATACAGATTAAAACCTTGAATTCTTGTCTGCATGAGATGGAGAAATGGTTCTTGTTCGTATAATATTTTTCTGATCTTGGAAAAGTAATAGGTTCGGTGTTAAGCTGGTCTAGGGCTCTCTTGCCAGTAATTCCCCTTATATTCACTGTGGTCTTATGCTTTGGCTCAAATCCCAGTGGCTAATGAGGCAGTTCTGGGCGTGTGTTGGAAGAGGGCTGGGTTATGCTAATAAAGCTAGGAAGCATCCAGCTAGTCCAGTCTCTCCCTACAAGTTATGCAAAATCATAAGGCTGCCGGAGAGGTCTGTCTTGCAAAATATATTCAGAGAATCTAGATTGACTTCTTTAGAAAGTATTTTCTTGTAATATCAGTTCTAAAAAGTTCAGAAACATAAAAGGCATTACTAAATCCCTATCTCCCCCCGCCCCCACCCTCGCCCCACCAGGAGACGAGATTATTCATTCATACAGAAACATTCAGACAGCCACTGCCCAGTCTGGGGAAGGAATTGCCAATTCTCATAAACAAACAAGTTTCATCTCCTGGGCTAAGAAAATAAGCGTACAATGAACAATTATTTGTGGCAACAGTTCCTCCCTGTCTCTGAATTGCTCATTCAGTTTCCTGACTATTTTTCTAAGTCATATAATTCTCACACTCCTATTATTACAACTGAAATTTCTGAGGAATAACATTTGGTTCATATTATTGTTTGAAGTATCCCCAACTTTATTTTTGTGCCTCTGCCCTCTTTTCACATGACTTTTGGGGGGGCAGTTCTCTATTTTGGGAAGGATGTTACATTTTATAACAGGACAGGCTGTCAAGGACCTTTACTTTATGACTGTGACGCCAGCCCCCAAAAGAAAAAACGTGCGTTTGTGAGCTGCACCATTGGAATTAAACCAAAAAGCCAATATATTAACTAAAATTGTGAAGCCAAGAAAAAGAATATCATGTATATAGTTTGCTGCTGCCCTATTAATGCCTGTTTGTCCATAGAGTAGAAGCCTGGTTTCTGGAAGTCTTTAGAATAACAGCGTACGTGGATCCCTCAGCCACTTCCGAGGCTCCCTGATGTGCCTTTTCCCAATATTCTAAAATTAAGGTGAAGAGCTACTCTCTCAGTCTTCCAAAAGTGACATCACTGCCTTTCTATCTGTGCAAAAAATACCCTGCTTTTAAAATCCAATTTGAGGGGATTTTAATGCAGCAATATATGTACACTTCTATTCATGTGTACAGAATAGAATTTGCTTCGTATTTTTCTAATCGTTTACGTATGTTAAACTTACAAATTTTTCATTAGTTTAGGTTGGGAGTCCCACCAGAGACTTGGTGGTAGCAATTTAGCCTTATTCTTTTGGTAGAGGGTAGGTCCATCAGATAAGTAAATCCGTTTTTAATAGAAATGCTATGTTGTTTTTTCTTCACAAACAGCAATCCAACTTTGTTTTATACACTCCACTCATTATATAAACAAATGAATTCAGAAGATATATTCAAATTGAGTATTATTTTTATAATAAAATTAAAATAAAGATAAATTTTTCAAAACATATCTAGGTCAAAAATTCAAATTTATGTTAACCAAATGAGAAAAGTAATTAAAAGCTTGACTGAAATCACCAATCAACAGCTATGATTCATGTAATTTCAATCAGAAAAAAAAAAGCTTTGTGTTAAATGTTAGTAACAAAGAATTCACATGAATAGGATTTTCAGAATCGAAGACGAATTTGCATAAAAGGGCCTAAGCATATTAGTGCTAGCAATTGTTCTAAAATATCCTAAGATCAGGAGGGAGAAGAAATTAGTCTGATAAAATAGTTCTATAGTCTCTCAATAAAACACTCCTGAAAGCTAGAGTAAATCTTTCCCAAAAGTATAAATCTACAATTCCAATTCCTGATTTTTTTTCCAACTCCACATGCTTAGTCATCATTTCAAACACACCAACGTCTCCTTTCAGAGCATGGGACCAATCATAGACTTGACTGATAACCAGCAGTATAAAAAAACCTTTGTGAAGAAATTTATTCACACCCATGACACTCTCAGAGTATGTTACCCAGCCCATAAAATTCAAGATTAAATGTATTTATTCAAAAGTCTCAGTAGCTAAAATTAGCTTAAAGTTCAGTACTATGTGTCATCTCTATGAGACATTGCTTCCCAAATATCCGGGCAACAAGTATATAAGTGAAAAGGTGAACTTGTCTTCCACGTTCCACGTGAAACCAAAGAAAAACAAAGATTCTGATCACATCCGTGACATGTTTGAACTTCCATGATTTCCAGTATTAGACTTAAAACTCATCAGCGCAGCATGCGACCCTTCCTCGACTTCCCTGCCCCTGCTCTGACTAGCCACCCATCAACTCTGTTTAATTAAGCAAGTATTTACTGATCCATCAGATTTGGCTGGACTGTGAAATGCTGTGGAAGGGTGGGGGAAGGGAAGATAGCGTCTGCATTTTCTAGGGGTTATTTAATGAAGGAAATAGAAAAAGGCAGAATGGAATAAATTAACAATCAAGTCACACAATAAGCGTTATGGGAACTCAAGAGGATGGAGAGTTGCCTTCCCACTGAGAAACAAAGGCTCCCCACTTTGCCCAGATCCCCTGTGTCAGTGGGTAAGTATGTTCCCTACCCTCTGCCCACTGGCTCTTTGGTTTTTCTCTGTACTGGTTTCCCTAGTTCCACAGTTTTTCCTGTCTAAACAATTACTCAGTCCTTACCTTTTTCATGAAAACTTCCCTGGCTTCCCCACAGTTCCGCTCTTGCTGTCTGCACAATATCCAGGTAACAGGCTGCTCGTGGGTGTACAGCTGTGGTCATTTTCACCGTCTAGTGACTTTCTTCCTTGAAATCTATTGCATGTGATCCAGTCTGACTCATGAGATTGCAAATTCCTTGTGAATAGGGATTATTCGCATAACTTGCCTTCCTCTTTCCTCGGGATCTAACAGAAGCTTCTGCAGACGTAGGATCCGCTCAGTGAGTATTAATATGTGAACGTTCCCCACTCCAGAAATTACCAAAGAATCATTTAGTCTATCTCAGCCTCGTTTCCAGGCTGTGCTGTTAGAGAATTAGGAAGACAGGTAAGGTAGGAAGAGAGCTAGAGTTGGCAGTGGGGAAGGTAAGGAGAGATTTTAGCTTCACTTGCTCAGTTTCTCCCTATTCTTTCACAATCTAAGGGAAAATGTATCTTTTTCAACACAATTCCTTTTTCTTATATCATAGAATCTGCAGAACATAGACAGAAAAAGCTACAGTAAATGAAGAAGAAAGAGAGGAGACAAAAGAGTGAAAAGCTCACGGACAGAGGTTTCAGAGAAAGTGTGAGAGCGAAATTGCTCTGGAGCAATTTGAAAAATGAGGGAACTGAGCCAGGCGCAAAGGAGGAAAAGAGTCTTCCAAGGAGTTTGTGCCCTAAAACTGGATCATATTGAACAGTTTTTGAGAGGTGCCAGTGAAGACTGGGATTCTCACATCACTTTTGGGGGGGACACTGTGCTTCTTTGAATGTGATCTGTGTGGAGACTGGGATGCCCAGAGCCGTGACGTGTATTCAGATTACACTCGGAAAGGTAGACTCATGGATCAACGAGGGCGTTAACTCCAGACTCAAGCCTACTTCCGGCAGCTGCGCTAGCGCGCTTCTGGGAAGAGGACGTTGCAGAAGGTTCCCCTCTGAGTAGGAACGTAGCAGCTACACTGAGTCCACGTTCTACTGAGTCATGGAACCAGCAAGGGGACACAGCAACACAGAGGGAGCAGCTTTTACTGAGTCATCCACTGGATAGGGTACCTTCTTCTCAGTTCACCCAAAATGTCATACAGGCTGGCATAGCCCTGAATCTAGCCTCTGTTTTATTTCTTCCGATGACTAATGAACAAGCTTAGAAAAATAGCCTATTCCAATTTTCAGACATTCTAATTACTAGAACATTTTTTTCCGAATTATTGAGCCAAGATCTGCTATTTAAAAGGTTCACTCTTTAGTCTTTATCCTAACCCTTGTGACATATAACAACCCTTCCGCTTCAGGACTAATTCAGTTAGTGCTATTCCCAGCCCCCCAAAAAAAAACCTCTGATGTTTTATGGTGCTGTCATTTCAGACACGCTGTGACATTTAAATATGGATGCAAACATACAAGTCAAGTACAGTCCTGAGCAGGGCGGCTCATGGCTTACTCATGACAGGCCAACCAGGATAGCAGAGTGAGCGAAATCCAGTGCCGATCGATCGCTAACGGGGCTGATTTTGCTTTCTTTGGATTAAATGACACTTTCCAGTCAGTTCCTTTACCATGTTTTTTTTTCTTCCGCCATTAATTTATATTCTGTAACTTATTTTGACTCATAATAGAGGTCAAAAGGAGATGGCTCTAGGTAAGTTAAAAAAAAGCCTAGGAAAAAGAATCACTCATACTTTCGAATGCACACTCTACAAGGATCCAAGGCATTTTCAAACAAAATGAGGGAAGAAGGACTGGGGAGGCGAGAGGGGGAAGTGAGGGAGGGGAGAAGGCGCTACGGACTGCATGTTTGTGTCCCCCCAGTATTCTTACTTTAAACCCTAGCGGCCAGTGAGATGGTATTAGGAGGTGGGGCTCTTGTGAAGAATTAGGTTTATACAAGGTCACGATGGGGTTAGTGTCCTTGTGAGAAGAAAGAGACTAGAGCTTGCTCTCTCAGCCATGTGAGGTTACAGCAGAAAGATGGCTATTTACGAGCCAGGAAGACAGAGAATCTTCCTGCGCCTCCATCTTGGGCTTCCCAGTCTTCAGAACTTAAGCCACCCAGTCTGTGGTGTTCCGTTATAGCAGCCTGATCTGAGAAAGAAAGGGAGGGAGGGAGGGAAGAAAGGAGAGAGAGAAAAGGAAGGAAGGGAACAACAGGAATAGGAGTTTGATGAGGATTATAAAAGCCCTTTGTCATTTCTGGCCAACAACTGATAAACAGTAAGAAAGATAAACCATGGGACACGGCATGACTTGAGAAGATCTGATGATACCAAAAGAGGGAATTAAATGACAAAATTACAGAGATGGAGAACAGATCAGTAGTTGCCAGGGGTTGGGACCTGGGTGGGAGGGTGTGGAAAGCGAAGGAAAAGGGTGTGAGTATAAAAGAGTGGCCATGGGGATATT